ACTCTGAGAACTCTTTGTCTGTATACAAGTGATCTCTCTGTTTTATGGATATCGTTTCGACTTCGCGGTAGATCCTCCCGTTTCGTCGACCGTGCCGGCGACGAAATCGATCTCGAAGATGAGAGAGAACGGCGTCGTGTTTTCGTCACGTTTGTTTCGTGTGCTCCCGGGGTGATCCCGGGTGTTTGTCCTAGCGACTTCTGGATCGGCGCGCGAGCCGCTGACCAACGAGCCGTTGGCCTTCTTTCTCTTTTTTCTCTCGCCCTATCTGTCGTCTCAAGGGGGAAGGAACCCCGGGTGATGCCGGCGTACGGCGCGATACGTCACGTCACGGCAGCGGCGGAGCGAACACGACGATGACGCGAGCACGCTCGCCTCGAGTTCGCCAGCCAACTGGCTGCACCTGCGGTGTCTGCGAGTGTCCCCCTCTTCGTCTCACCCGGAGTGCCTCCAGAACTCGCGCAACCGACGTGGAGCTGCAGCTACGCCCATTGGCCACGACCACCGTGGCAAACGTGGTACAACGACATCGGATTGGCCAGAAATGAGAGACACGGGCGTAGCCAAGTCGGAGCGCCGCCAGACATGGCCGTGGAATGGCTGCGGAGCCGCGTTCGCTTGCGAGAGGCGCTTCCGTCGTTGCTACTGCTGCTTCTGCCGCCGTTGCTGCTGCTGGCTGGCTGCTGTTGTTACTGGAAATAGGCTGGTGGTACTGCCGCCGCCGTCGCCGTCGCCGTCGCCGACGCCACCGCCGACGACGCCGCCGTCGCCACCGCCGTAGCCGCTCTTTCTCTCTCGCTTCTCTTCTTCGTCTGACACGCTATCGATCCCACAGCGTCGCGGAAGACGAGAGGGTAGATCGTCTCGCGAAATGCCACAGGTTTCAGGGAATCTTTACCTTTCGCGCCCGCGAAGTGTGTTCCTCCTCCTTCTCCTCCTCCTCCTCTTCCTCCTCTTCCCGCTCTTCGCTTGCTACATCACGCCGCTTCCACATTGCCGGTGTTCCATCTATTCTGCATTTACGTACCTCTTTACCTTTGCTTCTACATACCGTTCATTGTCTTCTTCCTGCATTATTTTTTCACGTATGAGCATCAACATCAGCTAATTCCTTTCTTTTATTTTCTATCACTGATGATTCCTCTTCCTGTGTTTTCTGTATCTATTCTATTGATCTATCTATATGGCTTTTTAAATATTTATCTATCTTTCTCTCCCCGATACGAGATCATCTTTTCCTTTATAAATGGAACGAGCACATGTTTGCTTGTTGTTCTTCATGACTCGACGTGGTGTATCATATTTTCATCCTTCTACCTTCTACATCAACTCCGCGTTAATTTCTTTTGCCTTTTTTCTCTTTCTTCCACGTTCCCGCTGCACAGCCTTTACTTCTTCCTTTTATCAATCCGTCATCCTTTCTTCCTCTCTTCCCAGTCGCTTCTTTATTCTCCTCTACCTGTCGATCGTACCTGCTTCTTTCGTATACCGTCTTACTCCTGCTTCCTTCTTCGTCATCCGCAATATCTTCCTTTTCTTTTTTCATCCTTCTGCATCTACCCCGTCATCATTTCTTTTCCTTTTCTCTTCGCCTTCTTTTACCAATCTGCTTCTCTCCTCTCTAGTTTTAGCCTCTTTCTACTTCACATTGCGTATCTGCCAGTCCTCGTTCTCTCTTCCGTACTTCCTCCATCTTGTTCTGTACTCTTTCCCATCTCCATCTTCTTTAGTTTTTTTTATCCTTTATTTTTCTATTCTGCCGTCCTCTTCTATCTCTCTTGATTTTCATCTTCTTTTATTATACAGGCGCTGGTACGTTTGTGAAATATGGCGCGTTATCGTAGGGTGCGCGAGTACCTAACCGACACGCGCTCCTTTCTATCGATTAAAGGACTCCACGTGCCATTAACCGAGTGGCCGAATGCTGCTACTGCTGCTGCGACAGTCTCGCTTTGCAGATTGAAGTACGAGTGAACGTATACGTCTCTTAATTATCTCGAAAATGTTTAAAATAGTTAAAAGTAAAATATCAAAAACACTCTATAGTTACATTTGTCGCAAGTAAATTAAAATTTATATTATTTCCATTGCATTGCTGCAAAATGAAGATGTAACCTCAATTCGTGAAATTTAATCAAAGGCAAATTTTTTATTAATATATTTATTCGTTATTCCTAATCTAATCTTGCAAAGAAATTGAGTCGTTAAAAAGCGAGTTTTAAAAAACCCGACAGGATTAAAATTCAGAACACGCAGACGTCCGCGAGACACCCGGTACAGAGCGGCATCACGAAGGATATTTCACGCGAATTGGAGATAAAGCGCACATCGCCTTTGCTTCGCCCGCGCATTTCTTCTTCCTAATCAGGACCAACGGCGGTTTAATGGGCCCTCTATATCGTACGACCGTAATTCGCCGTAATTAGCCGTAAAAAGAAGCAGCTCTATAAATTATATTGTTGCGCTCGGTTAGGCTTATTACGAGGGTCGTGGACGAGACGGACTACCGAAAAGACTAATGCGAGATTATTACGGGTTCCCGTGAAAAATCGCCCGCCGGTTAAAGGTGTCAATTCGTAACGGCGGAAACCAAAACATCGTCACGTTGTCAGTTTTTGTCGAACCGGAAGCTGGCGGCGATGTCGATCATAGCCCCAACGATATATATATGAATGCATCTGCGTGAATGGGCGTGTCGCATCCCCCGGAGATAAAAGCCTGACGCGGAATTCAGAACTTAATATCCTTCTTCTTAATGTCAGTCGATTCAACTTCGCGGTAACAGCGGGTGGTTGCACTCGGAGATTGTATCGTAATTAAAAAAAACTTCACCGAAGGCGGCATTGCGTTTTTAACTACTTCCTGATTCCCGGGAGACTTACAATTAGTAGAGCAGGTTACAGTAATATCGCAATAACAAACATACAAAAAGAAAAAAACATTAAATGATATCACATTATGCGACATACTATATTATATCACGTGCAAATACATTTCAGCAATACTACCGCTATATTACGCAAGTATTCCGCAAGTAGATACTTCAACATCGCTATGTACATTTGTCGCGATCTTACAATCAAATATTTCCGTGATTTTTCCGTGCGCTGCGATTACTGGGATGAAACTTTTTTGCAATTCGCGTATCCAACCAAATAAACGGATATATCGCAATGGACAAACGATAATTGCGATCTAATAGAAAGAAAGAGGAAGAACAATCGAGAGAAAAAGAAAACGGCAAAGGTGCGCTTTCGACCATTCGTGGCCGCGCTCTAAGACGCGGCTGTAAGCGACTATTTATTGCGGGGATTATCATGGGCTTCTGTCCATTCGAGACAATATTTACGGCCCGACCGTGTTCGCGAGCGTACGAACGAACGACTTCATTGCAATTGCGCGCCTGGAGGGTATTTATGGTAAGGGCTGCGTTATTAGCGCGGCTAAAACTTTACTGGCCGGAGTTGGCCGCCTCATTTACGGCCGCGCGGCGCCCGTAATCGCATAGTTAGAATTATATGATTACGAGCCGGCATGGTGTGCGTTATCGTCGATAGCCATTGAAATTCTTCAAGCGCCCGCGTAATTCCGCGCGCGAACGCGAGGGAGGAGGGCGCAAATGAAAGGGAGAGAAGAAGAACATATAGAGGGGAGAGGCAAAGTTAATTATTAATTATCGAACACGCGACGTGTCATTAGGAGCCCAGCAAGTAGCTCGACCGTATGCGCTTAAGAATCGTGCTATTAAATGTCTCAAGATTATTCGCGACTCCGTATTCGAAAACGGAAATGTGTTCGAAGAATAGAGAAGCTCATTTGCAAATATCGACGAAACAAAAAATATATATGTGATAACAGAGAAATAACGCGATTGCGTGCATAAAGCAACATGATACTGTTTTTCAATAATTTTAAAGTTAAAATTAATCTTTAATATAGACGATAATTTTATGATTCTTTACTACACATAATGGGCCGTTTGTGTCGCAAATTAATTTTGATTACTTTTACAGATATACAAAATAAATTAAGTGATTTTTACTTTAACATTTTTAAACAATATTTATAAAGTGCGTAGTAAAAATAAATAGAACAGATAGAGATAATTATTTAGCTGGGTATTCTTTTTAAAAAAAGTGCGGGACTCGATCATAGGTACTAAGAGTTTAAATTAATAATTCTAAAATTATATAAAATTAAATTTTTCAATAGATTTAACATTCTTCTTAAAGAGTAACTTCTTGTAAAGTTAATTTAAAATAAATTTAACAATTTAACTTCATCCGATTAATGTTACAAGATAAATATTTCAAAAGTTATCGTTAAATTATCGTTTTTCTAATAAATCTAATTTTTCAAAATAAATTTGAAATAAATTTAACAACATAACTTAAGTATTCGGCTGATATGATAAAAATGATAAATATTTCAAGAGTATTACGTGCAAGAATTATGAAAGACTTATTGGCAGTTAGCAGATTTTTAATCCGCGTAATCGCAAACTAATTCTAACATTTTTCTTTCCTTGTGAGAAAGTAATTCTAACATTTTACTTTTCTTATGAGAAAGAACATCAATATCAACTTCTCTATTAAAATAAAAAATAGTCATTCAAATAAATTCTATAACGAGAATTATATATGTATGTATAATACATTATATACTTATTTCTATAGCATTTTCGAAATCAAACAGTATAATAATAAATCTCATCGTAATTAGAAAATGTTTTCAAATTAAAAGCATTTAACATATAATCATATTTTTAAAGTTCTCATCTCCCCGAAATGCTAATAAACTCACATGATGAATTTTAAACTTTAAAGTTTAAACCATAAAGAAACAATCATTTAAAACGAACTTCTCTATAATCAATCGCACATGAAATCTGTACCTATGTCATTTTTACTCAAAGACTTTCCTTCGACATATCATAGAGATAAATAGAGTGATTAATCTCAGTAATGAATAATAAATAAAATAAATTACGAATCACTCACCATTCGCCACTGCTTTCTTGTTGTCTGATCCCTTTTCGAGATATTCCTTCTCCTCTCTCATCCTTCCATTGTCGCTCCTTCATGGGGATCACAGAACACTGACACTAAATACTAGCGAAAATACGATTAAAACGACGACCGACACTCGCGGAGAGTTAATGGAGAACGCTATATATTGCATCACAACGGGACAGTAACACACACAAAAATACAAACATGAGATTCGAAACATTCGCGATATCTTCCAAATTGATATGAGGAGAATTTGAAACTCGCACGGCCAATTTTATACCGACTGCTTTCCTTTTAAGAGACACACTCGACACAACACAGAAAAAAATTCTCATTTTTAACCGATTATATTCTATTCAACGTAATCATTGTTTCTTATATAAACAACGATATAAAATCTTTTTTCAAAAATTTGAGACTCAACTTCGATCAACAATATTCCGCAATATTCTTATATCAACAGTGTTAAGTTCTAATTCTCGATTTGAAGATATCGTATAATCTTCTCCGATATATTATTCTCCCTCAAATTAAGAAAATTATTATTGATTAAAGAATAAAACAGTATATTTTTCTTGGTATAACTAGATCAATATCTTCATGCAAGCAAATTATGTCAGTTTGACGCTAAATAATCTTACTTCAAGTCTTACGTGTCAAAAATAAAAATATTTTCAAAATAAGAATAGTCCTTTTCTGTGAAACGTCGTTCTATTTTTGCTACTCATTGAATGTCAAGAAGGATAGACATTGCCGACTGTGCCTTGTAAAGGAAAGCAGCCTCCATCTATTGCGCATAACGCAGCATTACCTTCGTCGACGTATTTCTTTGAGAGACAGATACGTTATGTATAGATACACGCGCGCTTGCGTTTCAGGGCGATTATGGTTGCAATAAACATGCGCGACTTGCGATCGTAGCCAATCAACACGCTTGAACAATTTGTGCTCTTTAGATTCATTCTAAAGAGTGAAATTTCGCTGAAGATTAAAAATTTTTTTTTAAGAGGGGATTAAAAATTCTTTTTTCTTTTTACTTTAGAGTAAAATTTCAAAAAATAAAAAGAGTAAATTAGATCTTGTTTAGTCGATGAGTGTCAAGATGCGGAGCTAATCGTATTGTATTTGCGGATGCAACGCGTCGTCGCGACGTCGCCCAATCTTGGAGTTGATCCGTTCCACACTGACGACATTTATCTGATTGGAAAATTCGAGAGCGACGTCAGTAATTCACTCTTCTATCGCACGACACGACGCGATCAGTTTGATATATCTAATTGAGGACAAGCCGGTCAATTCGAAAATATACGATCGATATTCAATATCGTGTACCTTTAACGCGCAAAACCAGTGAGATAAGAGTATTATTGATAAATATCGATACACCGTATAGCTTCTCGCGTTACTCTTCATTCTGATTCGTGTATTATTCCACGCTTTCGGAAATAATAAAAAAGAAATTACGACCAAAACAACTTTCGAGCGGAACGTTCGAGATATATCCGAGTCGAAGCGTTAAAAAAGCAATTAAATGTTGCGATGAGACGGTAATGCACGACTCTCCATTCAATCCGAGAGTCCCCCATTCCCTTTATCCTTTCGATTCTCGTTCCGAGTGGATAAAATTGCGCGGTAATACCTGCTTCGAAAAGAATTCCGATACGACGAGTCGACAGCGGTGGATCATCTAACCGACGATTTCTAATCATGTATCGGATGTAATGGAAAACGATCACGTTTCACGTTTATAGCGTCCGCAGTTCGTAATCGGAAAAATAACGCGACACGTAGAGCGACACGCGCCGTTGCCGACCTGTTCAAAGGTCCGCGTTCGAATGGTAGCGCGGTAACCTTCATGCGTAGGCAGTTACGCACGATACTACTATAAGAGGGTATATACGATACCGCGCGAAAACAAACGCCCACAGCCATTGCGTATAACGTCAATTTTGAATTCGAAGAAGCCACAATATAATACGACATGCAGCGTCACATACCTAATAGGAAAGATCTGATATTTTGAAATCAGTTTAAACGCCGATACTCGAGTGAGCGGACAGTGGCGTATACCGTTGGCATGTATTGTTCTTCGAAATGTGTAATCGTGACAGGTACCAGCGAACGCGAAATGCGATCATTCTCTTTGTTAGGATTGGTGATTTTATCCCTATAGTGTTGTTACAACGGAATTTCATCATTGATTCATTATATCGATGCATATTCACCGAAGCAGTTATCGTAAATTATTCACTCGCAATGAAAAATGAAAAGAATAGAATTACTGCATTATTGGTATGGATGTAAGATTTTTGAGTGAACCAGTTTTGAATTGAGTGCAAAGTAATACTTGCATCAAAACAAATTTACAATATTTTTGCTATACATATATATATATATATATATATAATATATATGAGTATATTATGGTTAATTTAAGCATAGTCTTTTTTCTGTGTAATAATATATTATGTGAAATTTTACAATTTCCAATTCAAACAAACTGCGCGCCAATTATTTGTCGGTAGAAACACAGTTTTAAACTGAAGTTGAAGTAAATATTACACATTAAATTAACAAACAATTTAATATTATTGATGCTAATAAATATAAGTTTGTATAAAATAAATTGACAAGTTATTAGCATCAATAATATTAAATTGCTTATCAATTTAATTTATATTATGTGCTTTAGCTTTTTTCAGTTTAAAACTATTTTAACGACAATAAATAACCGGCATGTAATTTATTAGAACTGGAAATTGTAAAATTTATACATATATTATTAAACACTAAAAAACAACTTTAACTGAAAATGACTTTCTTCTTACTTATTTGAATTGAATCTCTCGGTCCATTTTCACTTAATATGGTTCCATATTTAATTGTTTAACGCCGCTTTAACGTTTCGATTCAAATATATTTTGTATATTGAATATTTCGCCAATTCTCCCGTTTTCTTTACATTTCTTACAATTTTTCCGTTATTTACCGTATTTATTATCTGTAAAACAAAAAATAAGTATGTCAATTACTTAAACAGTATTATATAGAATATAATAAAAACGATATGTTTAAAAAATGACGCGTCATCGAAACGTTATGTAGATTTACGAAAGATTCACTAGTCTTACTCTTCTAATGATGCGAATTATACAATTCGATATATTTTTTCTTTAAGAAGATCGCCGTTGGTTTTTTTCGGAATAAAAACAAGGATCTGGAAGAATTCCGGAGAATTGTGCGTACATTTGAAATCGTCTTACAAATAAAATTAAAAAATTATTTTTGAGCATTACTAAAATGTCGCTGATACGAGATATAAAGGAATTAAGATATAAAAATAAAAGAATCTAACGGATCTTAGTATAGCTAATTCTCTGTCGATTCTGAAATTCAATTTCGCGAAATGGATACATGTCAATGTATTGCGTCATTTATTCTTTGCGGAAAATTCATGGCGTTATCTACAATCATAAATTACTCCAGGGAAAACACTTAGTCGGTGCCATTGATGTCTTAATGCGGAACTCGCTCAAATCGCTGTTAAAAAAATGTATATCGATTACAATCGCATTTATCGTGAGCGCGGACCTCAGATTTAGCCGCGATAGCGAGGGAAATTGTGTGGTACGGGCAGATAATAATCTCGTAATCGGCGCTGCTTGCGTATAATTATGACGCCGCTACAATGTGGTATTATTTTTTGCATGATACATTTTCATGAAACGGGTGTTACCCTACATCGCGCCATTATTAACCGCCGTGGAAGCCGCGTAGAACCTTTCGCCATGCATAACTTGCGAAACCGTTTCTTCACTTCACGGAACCTTGACTAAATTCTTCTTATATCATGACGATAAACTTCTTTCGTCGACGCGTTGCTTCCTTTGTAAATTTTTAACGAATGATTATTATAAATTTTCTATTTAACACAATAACGAGAGAAAAATGAAGGAAACAATATATTGTAAAAATTACTAATAATGCATTAAAGCGAAAGTAATAGTATAGGGTTTAGACGACGATTACGAGATAATATAGGGAATGTGAAATCAATAACTTTATTCAATAGCTTAACAATTGTGGCATGAAAGCCAGCTAAAAATCTTAATGCACATACAGCTGTACAATATAATAACTATATAATGTAGCTGTATAATATGTACATTATAACAAAAATATTTAACATTATTGCAATTAGCAGTAAGATATTCTAAGTGCACTGTGTTGTACTATCTCAGAATACATTTGGCAGTAATACTGTACTGTTTCTAAACCAAGAGAGGTCATATAAATGTTTCGATAAATATTATTGTAAATTTAGCTTTTCTTTTAAATTTAGTATCTTATAAGTATTTCTTATCTCGTATATCATATTACAAAGAATTTTAATTTACATTTTGATTTTGAAAAAAACTTTTAGGCATCAATTTGATCATCGTTATCCTTATACAATAAAGATCATAAAAAATATGATTATTATTCTTTCATCAATATTAATACAAAGTCTTGTAATTATTTTGTGTAAAAAATAGAATAAATTCTGTAATATATTTATCAATATAGTTTGTAAGCACGACCTCTCTTAGGTTACTATAATCAATTAACTACATATTGTTATTCATGTTTTATACCGCATAGAGGCCCTTTTGGATGGTATCCTGTCCATTTCCTATAAGTGACATCCATTGCTTCCTCCACAGCATGATCTATAGGATGTATTATGAAAGGAATAGAAACCAAACCAATAAGCGTAGAGATCCAAGGCTTCTTCCAAGCTGCCCTTGTACTTTTTCTTTGTGCGAATTGAACTGTCGCACAAATACGATTTATGGTAAAACCAGGAACTATCACCGACGCGAATGCCTGCCATAGCAAAGTGTCTGATGTGGATAATAGGACATTTTTAATTTTCTGTGGAGTAGCATCTGCCTATAATAATTAAAATCATTAAATATGACCAATAATTATTTCCATTCTATTGAATCAAAAATTCTTGCAGTACTTGGTAAACTTTTACACCCTTGTGTATCGTATCAGCGAGAACATATCCACTCGATAACACATAACTGGACCATACAATAGACTTAGGCACCAGACTTCTAAATGCTTCTCCAACTTCATTTGCATAACCTAAAAAAACCTTGTTAGTAAAAAATATATATATATATAAATTTTTTCCTTAAAATACCGATGTACCATCTGACTTTACTAATTTCTTTAAAAACAATGATTTAATATTACACAAAATTGTGAAATATAAAATAAAGAAAAGATGACAGAAAACTTCAATAACAGCATTCAACGATCTCTTTGCCATTACCTAAATATCTTACATACGTGTCTCGATACAAGTCCACCTCTTCTTGATCGTTCTTCATCCTGGAATTTTCGATTTCCCGATTACCTTTCGCACATAACCTGTGGCAGACACTTCGCGGCGTTCAGTACTAAAAGAATATTCAGCATAGATATCTGCCGACAAAATGTTTATAAAATCTTTTCTCTATTCGTATTCTTATCTAAGTATTTAAACATTCTTAAAAATAATTATTTGTATATAGAAGGAAAAATTGTGGTAGAAATTAGAAATACCATTCTAAAACGGATCGCAAACAGTCATCAGCTGACTACTTAAATGTAGCGAATGTAGCTTTGAGAGATTTCGAGTCTCGAGGAATCGAAACTCGCAATCGAAGATCGATATATTGCTATCGATTTTTTGCTATTGATTTTTCAAAACTTTCATTTTTAAATTTTCTATTAAATTTACTTTAATCTTTATATATACACAGCGTTTGAATTACCAAGCGATAGTCAATTATCATATTAATTAACTTAATTCTAATTATATTCTGCATGACGTTAATGTTAATTGCAATTATCCAATTAAAAAAAATCTCTGATATTCCCTCTCTTAATGCACTGTCATACAATATAAATTTAGAACTAATTTTTACAATTAACGAGATTAACAAACTATATTTTATATATATAAAATAATTATCTCGGTTATCTAGGAGTTGACATGTTAGAAACATATTAATATATTGCTTTACAACTCTGTGTCTATCACTTTATTCTCATTCTATTTCTCTTTTCTTCTTGAATATCTCCCCAAATTCCTCCTAATTCTTCTTTGCTTCTCGTGTCATTCGTAAAATATACCGAAAACGGCGACTGCTCAGACTTCTCAATCGGAGCGACCTAACCTCAAATTCGACTACGACGACTACTCGGACTACTTTGCAGTGACGAGAATGTTACGTTCATTATATTCTCGTTCGTGAGCGATAATTCGCGTTATGACGGAACCGCGATAGTCCACGCGTGTTGTGCACGTGAATATCATCCCTGGGATGATGGCCGATCTGGAGTACGCGCGGCTGTACCTCAGCCTGCAGCTCAACGAAGCGGTCTGCTGGTGGTGTTATTATATCCGCGAGATCTCATGGCAGTTGTTGATTGCCCTGCTAGCCTATCTCTGTGTCTGTGTTTTCCTTTACGCAGTCCTAAAACGGGTGGGTCATACTGCTTGGCAACTGCCAGGTCCACCTAGTAGGCTTCTTTTGGTCACCGCTCATCCAGACGACGAGGTGATGTTCTTCGGACCACTGGTCTATTGGTTGACCCATTCCAAAGCCAGCGAGATCTACCTGCTGTGCTTATCCATGGGTACATGTCACTAGCGGACCACTGTCGTCCAGGATCGCGAGCAACGATCCGGATTAACCGACAGGAATAAACCAGGCTACACGTCACACAAACGCTGTGTCTATTGATGTTTACCAGTATGCTTGCAGGTGGGGACAGAAGGAGGATAGACGAGCTGTGGGACTGTACTAAGGTGTTGGGAATTCCAGAAGCCAATGTGACGATTATTATGTGAGTGTGCTTAGAAAACGTCACTTGCAAACACTCAGGCTCAGTTCCACTTCTCATCTTTTTCTAATTCTAAGAAAAATAAAGAGTAAATTAAATCTAAATTAAAGTTAATTTTACTTGGGTAAATACCGTTTACCGGTTTTACCAGGCTACACCTGATTCAACTACGCATTATTAAAATAGGATATGACAAATCCCTGATACCATAAATAAAACATTTTTCACAATTGTTCTGTCATCATAATAAAAATATTTTTGAATAATTTTATCCAAAAACCAAATTTAGTATAAAGTATGCTAAAAATTTTATATTGATTTGAGTTCTTAAATTAGCTGGGCTTTAATAAATTTCATCTAAATAACACTGGCTTAAATATTTTTGTTTCAAAAATTATCATAGAAAAAATTGCTTAATACTAATAGTATATTTAATACTATAAAAGTGTGTTGTGTCTAATTTTTGCAAAATGCAAAAACTGAACAATTTCATTCAAGTGCAATGATGATATAACAAAATAAAGATAATTATCTGCTGTATAATAGTTGGATAAATGAATGTACAGGAGTGGCGAGCTGCCAGATGATCAAGGCATACAGTGGCCAACAGACACAGTTGCAGAAAGCATCTTGCAATACATAGAAATGTATAAAATCAACGCTGTCGTGACATTCGATAAATACGGAGTCAGCCGGCATAAGAATCATATCTCCTTGTATTTTGCAATCGCCGCATTATGCATAGAGAAAAAAGTACCTTCTTGTCAGTATCATTCATACAATTGATGTACAAATATAGCAGGCTTGTATAACATAAATCTGATCATGTTGCAGATTGCAAGCTGTATGTATTAGAATCTGTTAATATAATCAGGAAGTATATTCAATTCTTAGATTTGCCCGTCAGCTTACTCTCAGCCTCATATTGGTATCTAGTGACATACGAGCAGAAACGAACAATCAAAGTAAATCAAAACACTCTGTTTAATTATAATTAATCATCCTTTAACACAAACGTCTTTTTTAACGTTTTCTTTCCCTTGCAGAGTGCCATGGCTGCACATAAGTCCCAGTACGTCTGGTTTCGAAAGTTGTACATGATCTTTTCACGGTACACGTTTATCAACACTCTTCAAGAAGTCAGTGCCCTCGATCTGGAGCTGGACCTCCAGTTCGACGAGGACTGAACGTTATGCGACGAACGAAGAATTGTACAAAATATGTAATTAACGATCATTGTACATACTTTGTCTACCGTATTAAATTACATAACTATGTACCAAAGCTACAAAAACTAGCTAATTAATACGAAAACTTTGGAATATATGCAGAGACATATACTTTATAAGAAGGAAATATTTTTTTATTTATATAATATAATAGAATTTACATCATAGTTACTTTCGAACAAGAATACGGCACGTAATTTTTACAGCGCGCAAATCAGATTTCTTTCCTTAATAAAAAATATACATATAGCGTGCCATTTTACTCTTCCCTATTGTATATACAACCTTTTGTAGCTGCATATAAATTTAAATTGTCATTTGATATGTGTATAACTTTACTCATCAGGTGTGTATAATAAAGAAATATTAAATTATTATAGATAAAAGATTGTATTTCTAATTTAAGTTGCGAGCCGCGCAAGATTTTTCGCCCGGTAATTCGCATTAGAGAAAATTAGCAGTCATTGTCAAATCATTTGAGCAAGTAATAATGTGGCGAGTATCGATCTCGCGATTGTACGTATATTTCTTTATTTGTGCCTCAACATTAATATTTTATAATATCATAGACCTTCGTTTAGAGCAAAAATTCATTTCTTTTTATTTTGGCACAAGTAACATGCATAGAAGAATTTGTAACTTTCGTTTCTTTTTCTAATATTTGATAGCGGAATGCATTTATTATTCGGAAAAATATATTGTTCTTTTCACAACAAGTCGATATTATACATATACACGCAAATAATGAAGTATCTACGAATATATAGATATATTCTTTCATATGCACGGACGTTATGTTTTCTGAACATTTTCCATAGAAAACTGCTTATGAAATATAAGCTATATGAAATATAAGCTTTGTTCTGTATAATTGCACAAACGACATGAATATTTCATAGCAAATAAACTGGGAAGATATTTAACGAAAATTTGATGAATAATATTTTAACAATTACGATATATGCGGTCGTTGTTTGATCTTTTTTTTATGTACTATTTAATATACATAGTTGTCTCTTTTATTATCCTATTCTAATTTTCCCAGCGTGCTTTAAATATCCGTAATGTAATGAAAATATATGCATAGTAGCCTAGCATGTAAACATGTAATATATGTATATTAAAAGAAATCTCTTTCGTAAAAAAATCTCAGTACTGAAGACATAGACACGTAATACACATAGTCCGTTAATTAGCCCTAATACCGAAAAATTAGATCGGCAAATGATAAAGTCATGAATTCTCGCATAATACTATTATCCACAATATAATGTGCGTGTGCATTTTTATTTCACATCAAAGTGAAATAAAACAACACTTCAAGTAACAAAAATCTTTGCGCTGGAATCTTGTACGTTTTGACATACACAGGATAGATTTAAAATACTTTTCCTACGAATATGAGTTTAGGGAATGATATTCGTCGTGAGCGAACAATGCCCTAGACCAAAACTCTACAAATAATCTCGATTTGAATCGAGCAATCCGCGTCAAAAATGAAAATCTTATTATAAATCGATGCATGCTTCAATAAAATCTTTTTTACATAAAAAAAAAACGAATAGATGCTTACATACGATAGTCGCAAATATAATGGACGGCATATAGAGTTGGTTCCCGCAAGATCCTCTAATCAAGTAGACTACTGTAACGGCAACAGACACACCGCAATGAGCAGAATACCGAATTTAGGTACATAGAGAAAAGGAAGTAGTATCCGGAAGAGATTTCCAATCATAAGAATGACCTACGTAGATACTCAAGTAGATGATGTTCCCTTTACAAGGGGTTCATAGTGAAGATCTCGCGGGCCGTATCCTAGAACCTGTCTTTACCGCGATGAGAGCCAAGAGTACCCATTCCCGACTGAGGGGAGTCCGGATCGGTCGCATCCTGTAAGTACTGCAGTTCCTGCAGTTCCTGGAACTTTTCATGATCTCGTATATGTGCATAATTAGCAGATAAGCACATCAGATAGTGTATCAAGCTTAGAATCACAAGCATGCTCGCCGCGGTCGCCAAAATGAACATCACTTCAGCTTTCTCCACAAAATCTTTACAGAACAGCTTGACTTCTTGGGGTCCACATACTTGCATGTCTTGCACCCGTGTATTATTTGGAAACATAAAACCTGAAATAGCATAAATTTGATTGTTCTTTATCAGTTCTTTTGTACAATAACGAATATTTAATATACTATATTTAAATACTATAAAATAGTAATTATAATATATTGAAATAAGGTAGCCATTTTATAAAAATAGAAGAAGAAAATACGATTTTAAATACAATGTTCTAATTTTAATCTATTCATATATTAATTAATACATGTGAAAACTTACTAAATTGAGTAAAATCAATACAGTCGTCAAGAGATTGAACACGTGGATTGCTGCACAAATTCCAGAATATGGTGAATATCAGCGTTGTAATAATTAGGAATGAGAATATCAGAAGCCAAACTATTTGCAGAATGTAGATGATAACCATAAACTGAAAAATTAAAGATGTACCATGTAGTCATCAAAAATTTTTTCACTACTAATAGGAAAATATTCTAATAAAGATCTGATACTTGAAATACTTACAACAGCACAAGAGATACGTCCACCCACTCGAGATTGCCATGCACGGTAGACTTTGTGCCTCGTAGCACCAGTTGCAAGACAACCAACACACAAAATCATGAATCCTAAAGCTGCCATGCATGCTCCGATTGATGCAAACACTAACTGCACCACTTCCAACCATCCAATATGTAGGTGAAATACCTAAATAAACAAAAATTTGATAATTAGAAATTTATAGAATCTAAATCATTTTGAAAAAATGTATCAAAAGTTCTTATGCTTTTTACCTGATCCATCATAAGAGCACACAATGTTGCACCTCTGTACATGGTTCCGCAGAAGATTCCAACTCCCAGGCAACACATAATGGTCGCTATAAGAGTCGCATACGGCACTCTGGCCATACATTCGTTGCACATGTTCCCTAAACAAGTAAATTTCTTTACATTTGTAATTTTATTATGGGAAGCGCTATATATTCATTTATAAATTTAGTTGAAGTCATTCACAATAAAAATCTAGACATTATAATATAACATCACAAATAAATTTTACACAATCTAAACCGTAAACTATTATAAATCGTTGAGATAAATTTCATTTAACAAAATTCATTGTAAAAAAAAAGGGGGATTTAATTTTTAGTATATCTTTACAAGTCTATGTCATGTTCCGATGTATAACAGACAATAATAAAAATCTATAGTTCATGTTACATGTACTATAGATTTTCAGTCTGACACTAGTATTAGTAACAATATATATTGAATAATGGCCTACGTTTGTACCATTTATTATCACGTTTCAATGGCACTTTTAAACATACTTACTGCAACTTTGTTCGTTCGAATATAAACCGTGTAGACTATGTTCAGAAAACCTATCCAGACTAGCATTACTCCCGAAATTGCCACGCAGTGGCAGGCTTTCTCTAGCTTGACGTAATTCACGTAATCTTGCCATTTTACAATTGTAAGAGTAACAATAAATAACTTAACAGTAACAATAAATGAAGAACGCGTGGTGAAAACTGGGCGTTTAGTCAGTGACTAAATCATACTATCGATGATGACTAATCATTTATCTACAGTTCAGTCAGATAACGCGCGACATGTGCTGAGTATGTACATTCGCTAATGACGCCAGTTCATTCACAAACTCGGTAATATAAACGTGTCGTTAGCATACTAAGACGTTCCGTCTTGGACAGAAATATTATAATTAGCGCGTGGTGTCTATTATTATCGACACCATTTTTGCTTGCGTGCGAACGTCATCTGTCTCTTAATGAAACTTAACAAGCTTTCTTGGAATTAGTTTACGCTAAAGCAATTATAATTTACATCACGTCAGAATTAGCTCAATGTTTATTAATGAACATTGAGCTAATTTTGTGTGATCCAACGTATTAAATCTGAAAGCTCGAATGTTTACAACTGTATAGCTGCCGTTGTTATGACGCCCACTGTGGTTCAACAATCCCAAATTGGACTACGAGCATCACACAATCGCGTTAATTTACAAGGGAAGAGCGACAGGCAGATTTTTGTCAATATTAGTATGGCTTACCCATTTTCGTAGTTCGCGTCGCCCGCTTGAGATTAATGAAGAAGAGACAGGATGGGCAGCGCCCGTGACGTCGCGGAATCCGCGATTACAGCACTCGTTTCTCGTTAATTACAGCAACGATCACACGTTCCACGGTCGCAGCAGCGAAGGACATCCCACTCACGATTATTGCAATCGCTGGATGTAAAAGAGAAACAAGGCGGATAAAACTGACGAACTCGATAGATTCCAAATTCCACTAACTAGTCTGTGCGAGTTCTTATGCTTACAGGCCTTTGATCTCCGCGTTCACAGAACTTTAGATGATTTACTACTGCGTTGCTCGCTTGTTTACCATCTGTCAAAATCACTCCGCGAGACGACGCGGCTAACAAACCACGCGAACTATCTGTGAATAGCTCCACGGATGATCTATCTCAATATTATCAGTCTTATCACATGCGCACACGTCGGATTTCAGGAATCACGGGCAACACTTCCACAAGATACCTCCGGCCAAAGACAGCATCAACATGGCGTCACGGAGCGCGTCCGTTACGTTCCGTATGGTGAATGGGATCGTTGCTCCTACAACGTCGAATCGGTCGAATCGTAGGGCGCGCCGTTGTAGTAAACGCTCGCTAAAACCGTCGTTCCCTTCAATGGAGCGAGGCTTGGCGGGAGTGACGATGACCGGCTGTGACCCCGATTTGATCGGGTTGCGGTAAATACGCCAAAGCGATCGAAGACTGTACTTTAACAATCTGATATGTCGATAGAATTTCAAAGGATCAATTTGAAAGGGTCGCAGGAAGATAATGTGAGAAAAAGAGAAGCCTACTGTAATATTTTCATGTGAAAAATGGAAATTATTCTATTTATTTAATTTATTACAAATTCTTTTTGCATTGCTATTCGGCAGAAAACAGCAATCATAATTATTTAATATATCGTCTATTAATAAAAGTAACAATATACCTGCACAAGTTCGTCACTTTGAGGAGATAGCGGATTTCGCAGAATGTTTCTTTACATAATGCAAATAATGGAAAAATTCTGAATTTTATACCACTCTCTTATAAAAATTATTCTTAAATTCTTCTCTCATTACATATATAATAGTACTAATAAATTGCCTCTCGTCTCTTCGATCTATAAAAATAAATATCGACATTTAAAAAACATTATTCTCGATAATGATTTTTCTTATTTTATTATTTAAGTTTTTCCTTTTTTTTTTGTACAATTGCAATAGTAATTCGAATCAAGCGCGTACCAAAGAATATAATATATTTATTCTTTGTTTCATGTTATTATATATTTAGAAAATATTTGTAAAGTCAAGATCAGACTAGAGATTGAGATTGGATTGAAATAATAATAAAAAAAAAAACAATCTCAAGTGAACACTTTAATTCGATTTGATTTAAATTCCAATCTTATCTCAATATCTAGCCTGATCACAGTTTCAAGCCATTATTTTTCTTAACTATGTATAAACTCTATCTATATATATATAAATCTAATTTATAAATTTATAGCTTACGGTTAGCATTACTATGGTAATTAATATAGGCAATTTCTTGTACTATACAAAATATTTTATATTTTCAAGCGGAGCTACCGAATGCCTTTATGCATCGGTTCTACGAAATACTTGATAATCGTCGGCAATTGTAGAAGCTTTTCTTTGACCGGTATCTCCAAGTTCTGCTGATGATGCCTGTTATATCGTGTAACAATGCCGTCACTACTCTCGTATATTATGTCACTGTTGTGACTTTGCGGACTTACCTGCAACAAATTGCAATTGTCGATAAAATATAAGTGACTTAATCATTAATGTAAACAATCGTTCGATAAACTACCGTTAATAATCTGTCCGGAAAGTTAAATTAATAACTAATTAAAATAAAAAAAATGATATTTAAGTAATAATTTACAATTAAGGCAGATCCATCCTTATAGTCGACCCTAATATGTCCAGACAATAATTTGGTAGCAAAGCCGATTCCTGGCACAGCTATCTTCGTATTTTGATTAGAATTGCGTATAGAGTTCATCTTGCGCGACCTGGAAGTCCCGGTCGACATGACGGAACAGCTAGCATCGAACGATGGCATCTAAGAGATTCAACATTAATTCAGCAACGTAAAATAATTAGGCATACTCTCTGCTACTTACAACAGGGGATTGTGTGTGTAAGATATTTTCTTTTCCCTGAAGATAGGGAGAATCACTCAAGATTGTGTTGGGCCGTCGTCCGATTATCACAGGGAAGCAGGAATGTCCAGTGGCTGCCTCCAGAGACGCTAGAGTGGATTCCAATAGCAAACAACGCTGATAACTTTCCGAGTAATGCTCGTAATAGGTCTCGAGATGCGACGGAAACGCACCTTCAACAAACGTAGCCCTATTGTTATCGGTGATTTTCACCACACCGTCTATCCGGACAACCTGAAATATGGAAATATAAAAATTAAATATAAAATACAAATGTTAAATAATACATTTTTTATTTTATCACATGTACATAATAGGACAATTAAATCGATGAATACCTTTATGCCATTATAAAAATGTACTTCACAGTCGGGTTGTGGACCATTTTCCATGAACAGGCACTTCGAACGTTGAGTATACAGTGTTAATTTCGGGGTTTTTGCCTGAACCAGTTTTACGAAACGAAAGGCGTACACATACTTTCGATGATGACACGTCGGTAAATTTTCATACGAATAAATACTATCGGCACCCCGATTAGGCAATGGTGGTGGTTGCATGCCAATCTCCACAGTCGGGTTCAATTTATAGAGAACGATTCGTAAACCGTCACCCGATATTCTGCACACTTCGTTTATTCTTTCCTACGGTATGAATAATGTTAGATATTTTTATGTAATTTGTATTTATCATACATATGCATATCACATTACTTTTTTTTTCATATAATAAAATAACGCAATGTTTCTATTTATGTATTTCTATATATGTAAAAATAATACTTTGTATTACTCTTCTCTACGTACCGTGCCGTTTCTGCGTTTGATAAACTCGATGCACACTTCTCCGTTATCTAGAATGGTGAGAATAGCATTTTTTGTTCTGTGTCTTTTAGGCTCTAGCCTATTGGAATTTAAGGATGACACTTGCAATTTTGTGCTCTTTTCAGTTCCGTCCACACTACGATTTTCCACGATGTTTTCTTTCCTTGGTTTGTGTCTCTCCATCAACCTTGGTTTCTCAGATTCGTTGTAGACATTGTAATTGCCGTATTGTTCGTTTTGCAAAAATGCTCTACCACGTGATATCGAAATCAAAGAATCATCTTTTGGACGATAATTAGCATACCTCATTCCATTGTTAGGATTTGATTGCATTTTCACAATAGGCTCGGATAACGGCTCGCTTCGCACACTAACCATAGGCATCATTGGTAACGTAGACATTCTTTCCTCGGATCGGGATCGCATTTTCGATCGACCATATGACGAAAGTGTCTTACCAAGTCCGGAGTCCATCATATCAGTAAATGGATTTTTACTCGTATTGTTTCTTTCCTGAATAAACAAAATATAAAAAACATGAACGTATTGTAATTACTTGTGGACTGGCCATTTATTGATATTTTTTCTTTGTTATTAATAGGCCTGTTCTTTTTAACTAAACTTTTCCACAATTCACTTTTATCTTTCTCTTCAACGTAAAAAGAAAAAGAGAAATGAAGCGTGCAGAAATTCAGCTAAAACGAACAAGTCTAATTAATATATTCACATTGTATTTGATGTCACTAGGTCTTAAGTACCTGTTCTCACTTACATTATGTAGCTTATTCTTTTCTATATTCATTATAAAGGCATGTTTATGAATATCTCGCAACCGTATCCTGTCTTTTGGATTTTTCTTCAATAATTTATCTATTAGATCCCTTGCATTATCTGACAGATGAAGTGGCATTACGTAATCAGCCATAACTACTCGAGTTAGAGTACTCTTAATCGCATCTGTCTCGAATGGTGGCTTGCCCACCAACAAAGTATACAACATACATCCCAAGCTCCATACATCTGCTTCTGGCCCATGCGAAGATCTCGTAGCAACCTAAAAATTTTCAAAATGTCACAATCCTGCGTAATATCACAATCCATACAGCAACTTTAAAAAATTACTCACTTCAGGTGAGATATAGTTTGGTGTGCCACACATAGTCAAATGCTTTTCATCTGGTTTACTCATCTGTGTGGCTAATCCAAAATCCGCTATTTTCTGCAAATACAAAAATTAAATTTTAAAAAGAAACAAATCTTTTTTCAATAATAAATGTTATTTTTTCCTGTACATACCACTTGCATATCTTTAGTCAAAAGTAGATTGGACAATGATAAATCCCTATGAAGTATTTGGTAAGAATGAAGATAAAGCAAACCCTGTACTACTTGTTTGATTATGTAGGCAGCTAGAACAGTAAAATTTTATTATAACAGAGATATAACTGAATGTATAATTTATAACATCATTTCTTATGTTTATAAATATACCATGTTCTTCGGATAGAGTTTTAGTGCCTTGTGCTTTGAGATAACGTTGAAGTTCTCCATTATGACATAATTCTAAAACTAGATATACATAATTTGCATTTTCAAAACATGTGTATGCCTCCAGAATAGCTGGATGTTTTAATCGTATATGTATCTCCACTTCTTGTCTAACTCTATCCATCATCCCATTAGCCTGCATCAATTTCTTGTCGATCTAGAAATAAATATAAAGGAAATAGGAAATAAGAACCTACAACGAATACAGATTGTTCATTTTGAAAGGAGAGAAATTTTGGATATAATGAACTAAACGTGGATTGAAGCAGTGTTGTGATATCTCAAGATTTGACATTGGTCCACTTTCTTTTATCCACTTCAAAACATGCAAAGCTCGACAAATAACAATGTGCATTTCCAAGTTCGTATTTAAAGTATCTCGGAGCTAGCAACTAGAGTGGAGCTAGCAACAAAATGCAATTAGAGTGACAGGCATCTCTCGATCCAAGGAAAAACAGATAAGGAAATCACCATTTTGATCGCAACTTCCATGCCGCTGCGGAGACATCTCGCACGGTAGACGCTTCCGTAACCGCCTTTGCCCAACAAATTCAACACTTCATACTCCTGCGAAAGAAATACAAATGCATTGATTTACGCGTATTCACGCGTTACCATGGGACGATGACGGCACAAACGGGCGCAAATTCAAAAAGCTAACCTCAATATGCTCGCCGAAGCCGGCCGAGATCGCTGGCATCAAGCAGCGCATCGCGCCGCACTCGAACGGTCGCTGTCGATTGTCGATAACCATTGGCACCAATTGACACCACGATCACAGTATATATACAACCCTCACATAAAATTCGCCGGTGACGGCATCCGTAATTGAAATCCTCAAACCGTAAACACCGCACGCATGACGTTACCCC